GATGAAGCCAACCGCAAGATCATGCCAGACGACATGGAAGAGATAGGCAAACAAAGATATCAGAGAGCGACGTTCAACATACCATGCCGAGACGAACAACGCGGAGTCTGAATCAAACCGCACTGCGGAGGCTTAATCGGCGACCCCTTACATGGCGCAGAACTTCGTCGCCAGCTTTGCGCCTAGTGTACAACAATGGGCACGAGACTGCAAGGCTCAACTCCCGCCTGATCATCTTCTGTATGGGAACAGCGAGCTTTTCCAGTATCCAGTATACCTCGGCCTCACGAAGTACGCAGATGACTTACGCAAGCTTATCATTACTCAGCGGGCAGACGCGCACGACATCGTGAATCAGGCCCACCAGGTGGACAACATGCTGAACACCAGGCTCACAGAGATCGGGATGCGGCAGAACCAGGACAAGCAGGAGACCATCATCAACTTCCAGGGCCACGGCTCGAAGAAGGCGCACCGTGACATCAAGAACAACACAGGCGCCAAGGTGCCAGGTAAAGTACATCCACACGCCCGTTATCTCGGACCGCAAGTCAGCCCTCGCCAGAACTACGGAGCGGAACTCATCAAGCGCATCGCAGCCATGAAGAAGAGCTATTACGAGTGCGGAGCGTTCTGGAGCAAGGCCAACATCCCATACCGTTGGAAGCGAGCAGTACTACTTTGCCGAGTGATCAACACAGGCCTCTCGTGCATCGAGTGCTTCCTCCCGACCACGACAGAGCACAGACAACTCCAGAGTGCGATGGGAGCACTACTACGTAAGGCCATGCGAGGCAGAGCCACGACGTACCGCGAGGACGGCACCGTGCGGAGCATGAGCACCTTGGAGGTCTTCCGTCATTGGCAAATATTGCCGCCGGCAGAAGAGGCACTGATACGACGAGTCAGCTGGCTAAAAACTATTCTGCGCTTCCCTGCTAACAACAAACAGCTGATCGTTGCGCTCTTCGGCCGAGTCGACTTCGAGACGAACGCCGAAACGACCACCGACGCGATCCAGAGCGACACGAATCCATGGGCTCAGAGGTTTCTGGAGGACATTAAGTACGCCTGCGAGGTCTCAGAGAATTTCCAGGACATCTTAGGGCGGAGCGAGGACATAACGATAGGCAAGCTCTTCACGCTAGATATCCGAGAACAACTTTGGAGCCTGGGCCCCAAGGAAATACGAGCAGCCAAACTAGCAGTAGCGGTACCCCCAGTACAGCAAGATCACGACGACGAACAACGAGAGAACATAGCCTTAGACGAGAAAAAGATTTGGAAATGCGAACTTCTTGACGAACGAGACGTATGTGGAATGTTATTTGCAAGCAAGAAAGCGTTACACAGCCATATCATACGAGCACACCATGTTCATAACTTAGCGGCAATTCTTACCAGCAACAACGAGTGCATCAATTGTGGGCAGGTATTCACCAGCAAAGGAACGGCCTGGAAACACCTAGCACGAAGTATGATTCGAGGGGGCTGCAGCCGAGACACGACGAAGAACCAGTACGAAGCGGCCCCACACGAACCTCAATGTCCGATCTGTAGTCATTTTGCCTTAGATAAGCATAGCTGCTACCGCCACCTTTGCACACACCTTCCTCGACAACTACTTCAGCCAGCAAAGGATGTCTCTTTTCGACCAGAGGCCGAATGGCGGACAGCCGCTACGCGCACAGGGAGCTCGCCCAGACCGCAGCCGTGGACGCGGAGGGGCGGGACAACAGCGCGGCCCAGCGGGACCAGCAGCGGGCCAGCAGCAGCAGATGGTCGACCTGACGGCGAGGCTCGCGCTCACCCTGGCACGGGAACAAGCAGAACTGGCCTCCGCAGTACTTCAGACGTGGGAGATCGGAACGGAAGCCAATATCGCTACATCGGGACTCGAAGCAGGGCGCGCCTGGCCGGCGAGGCAGTCGACACGGCGCAGCTTGGAAGCCCGCACCTGAAGGTCTGGACGGAGGTCTGCGCCTACCTGGGCAAGACGCTCGAGGAAGGGGCTTCCAAGCAGCACGTCGAGCAGTACTACCGCGACAAAGTACTCAACGCCGCTCCAGAAGTGCTCGGAGATTCAGTGCCAGTATTTCGCGCTCGGCGCAACAAAGGCAAGGATGGCAACGGGAAAGACAAGTGCAGGTTCCAGTTCACTTTCAACGCGAACGATCACCAGATTGCGACAGTGCTAGTCAACCAGCTCAAGAAGGAGGGAGCCACGCGCCGCGTGGGCTCGGCGCCGCGCGGGGCGCTGGAGCGGGAACTCGGGCGCCTGGTCAACGGCTGACCGCCGAACGACACGCAGAGGACGCCAGAGAAGAGCATGCCGTAGGCTTACGCCAAATCCAGAGTGAGGGAACGCCCCGCGCCGTGCCCAGAGCTTTCGAAAATAGTGTACGATTCCGAGAGCTGGCGGCCAGAGGCAGACTCCCAACCCCTCCTCCTCAGAACGCTCCTGAAGTCTTTAGGTTCAGAGGCCATGGTTTTCCTGACTACTTTTTGATGCACCGCCCTCCCCCCCCTCCCGAGTCCAAAAGGAAAGGTCGGGGTAAAGGGGGGCGAGCCCAGGGTAAAAACCAGGGGCAACAGGCGAGGTAGGTTTCCGCGAGGGGCGGGTGCTACCCCGCCCTCCAGCCTCTGCGTGGGGCTTTCGGTGCGGGTTGGGCCCGAGCACGACATCGTGCCAGCTCACCCAGCAAGCGCAGAGAGAACAGCTAGGACGATTTAAGAAACAGTTTTTTTAAGCTACCGATTCTGAGGAGGTTGCGAACTTCGTCCCCACGGCTCGATCGATCGATCCTCCTCCTCCTCCTCCTCCTCCTCCTCCTCCTCCTCCTCCTCCTCCTCCTCCTCCTCCTCCTCCTCCTCTTCCTCTCGGGGAACAGCCGCTGTCCCGCTCGAAGGGGCTGCTCTCCATTTCTGCGCGATCCCGCGGCGCGATCTCGACGCTCTGGGCCCGGGGAGCCTAAAGCGCAGTCTCGGGCGAGCGCCCCGCGCGGTGCTCCGCATCCGGCACGGCCGGCCCCGACTCCAGCAACGACAGCTTCGACTCCGACCAGGACCTCTGAGGGCTCCGGCCACGGCGTCGCCCTCAGAGCAAGACGCGTGCCGAAGGAACGCCTCGGACGAGGAAGCCCCTGGACAGCGAGAGCCCCGCTCCTCCGAGGGGGGGGGGGCCGCCGCCCACCCGCGCGGCGCCAGCCGACGTCGTCCACCCGCGCGGCGCCGGCTGCGAGAGCGCGCGTGGCGCAGGCGTGCGCGGTGCCGGGGCGAGGGCTCCAGGTTGCGCGCCTCGGCGTCGCTCGGACGCGTGCGTTTTTCCGTCGGCGAGGACCACGGGGGAGAATGTGGGGCAACTTTGCCAGCAAATGCGCGCGCAAAGCCAGCAAATGCACGTGGAATGGACGCCCGAGCGATGGCGAGGAGGGGACCGTTTTTTCCCACCCCGCGCGGCTGCCGGATGAGCTACAGACGAGTGCGCGCGGCGTCAGTCGGCGGCGAGCGAGGGGGGAGGGGGTGGGACGAGAAGGAGAAGGCCTTCTCGGAAGGCGGCGGGGTTTGAGGGAACCTCTCAGAAGGCCGGGGGGCTTCCGAGCCTCCTGAGAAGGCCCACCCCTTCTCACTCACTCCCCGGGCTCGCCGCCGAGTCAGGGCAACAGCCCCATCTGAAAGAGGCCAAGGCGACTTTTGCGCGGCACCTCGGGGGGTACCGTTCTGAAAGCCACCTGCCATCCATCGTCAGATGCAGTCTTTCGAAATCTCAAGCCTCAGGATGTAAGCGGTAAGGACGTATCAGGCAAAGCTGCCAGCCCGCCCCAACGACACGGCTCGTGGTGCGACAGGGAGGCGCTGTTTTTTGGAAGGAAGATGGATGGATAGGCCGGATAGAGAAGACGAGAACGCGAGGAGAAGAGAAACGCCAAGTTGTTCAGCGACCGCCAACATCAATACACCATGAGTGATCCTTGCGGCGTACTCCTCCCAGCAATGGAGGAAAGTGGATGAGAAGGAGGAGGAGGAGGAAGATGTGGACGACGCGGAGAGAGAGCAGAGGAAGACAAGGAGGAGAGAACCGTTGTCCCGATCATGAGGAGGCCTGGCTTCTATGTGTGGTAATGCGTTTATCTAGCACTTTCGAGGAAGGTGGGCCTGTTTCCAGCTCCTCTGCGCCGCACGAAGTTGCAAGTGCGAGGCTGATTCGGCGTTCGCCTCGGATGAGTTGTCCGGAACCGGGCCCAGGTTTTCTACTTTACTATATTTTGAGCCGTGTCCGAGCAGATCTGAATATGGCAGCATTGCAGCCCTGTGCGTTCGTGTTCTACCTCGTCTCGTATGCAGGTGGAGACTTGGCGCAACAGCCGAAGGATAGCGCGTGTTCGCGTGCCCCGTGGTTAAATTCGGCACGTGATTCAGATGTCTGCCGATCTCGTGATGCGACATGTGCCATACTTCCAGCGGTACATCACAAAGAGTTCGGAATCGCCTTCCTTGTCTTGTCTGGCTTTGTATGCCCCTGTGCCTTCGGCACGGGGCACGGTCACCAGAAGGTTCTATGCAGATCCTCGGCAGTTGCGCGTGTGTGTGTGTGTGTGTGTATCCATGTGTGTGCAACTTGTTCATGTCGAATTATTCGAAAGGTCTTTGATTTTGGGGGGGGCACTTTCATTTCTAATTGTTCTATCCTGGGCCTCTTCCTGGCCACTAGGGGGCCAGGAACAATTAGAAACGAGCACAATTCGAAATGAGCACGATTAGACATGAACGACGTGTGTCCATGTGTGTACGTTTGTGTTTGTGTCCCTGCGTTTTGCCGCAACCGTGGCAGGCTCTCTTGCCTGCGTTGCGGTCGCGAGGGAGAAGGCAGTGCTCGTGCGCGGGCGCGGCAGGGCAGCAGTTGAGGGCGCCGATCGGGAGGCTCGCTCGCGACCTACTGCGAGATCTACTTCCTGCACTGCTACAACGGGTGGCCCTCCCCCTACCGCATCGTGCCCATTATGCTGTGCAACTCCGGCTTGCTCCGGGTCGTGGCCTCCTTCCTCCTGGACAGAGCTTTTGGGGGGGGGGGGGGCGGCGCAGCGCTGAGGGAACGCAGGGAGTCAAGGCAGTTCCCGACGTCAGGCGTCGTGGTATTTTCAACGCGCCGTCCCTGGAGATCTCGGCGCCCTTCACCGGAGCCAGGGGTTCTGGCCTTCGGAGCGTTGCTCTCGGGCAGACGGCGGCGGGGTGGTGCACGAGACGCTGGGGGATCGAGGACTGCAGGGAAGTGGCCGAACGGCCCCCTAAACTGACACCGCGCACCCAGAGTGCAGCAGCGGCTCACGCCTCTTCACCCCGCGTTTGTGCCCCCGCCCGTCAATCAATCCACTTGATATCGCTCGGACGTGTGCACTTTTTCTCGGCGGGGATGATCGAGGAGCATCCTGGATCATCCTGCGACAAAAACCACGCACGACACCGAAAAAAGCACAGGGAATGGACGCCCGAGCGACGGGGAGTACAGGCCACCCAGATGGGGTCGGAGTAGACGGGGTCGAGGGATTCCGCCGCACCGCCAAAGCATCGCCGATGCGGCTCGACGTGGGGCCCGACGTTCTCCACGCCGACGGCGGGCGCCGATGCGTCACCGACCTCGCGGGCGCATCGCCGATACGCCCGTGATACATCGACGATGCGGCGCGATCCTCCGGCCCCATCTACTCTGACCCCGCTTGGGAGGCCTCTGCCGAAGGCGGCAGGTGGCCGACCCAGACACGCGAGGCGCCCGGATGTTTCCCACGCGAGGTCCCCGGAGGTCCCGACCTGTTCCCCAGGCCCAGCTCCTCATCAAGACCCCATCTGTTCGGGCCCCCACCTGGGAGGCCTCTACACGCCGGTCGTTGGAAGTAGATATTTTTGGACTCCCAGGTCCCAGTCTATCTCTAGCGCCTTCCTGCTTCCAGAGCCAGCATGCTCTTGATGTGACTCCCTGGGAGGGCCTGAGCCCAATCTGTGCCATCCGCCTTCCTACTTCCTGTGTTTACCCACTCCGAGTTTCTTGTCAAGCGTCGGGGGGGCGTCACCCCCGCCGACAGCCCCACAGATCGACCCCCGTCGCGGGCGGCCACCGCGCGCCGAAGGCGTTCCGACCCCCGTCGCGGCACGACGACGAGGCGAGGCTGACCCCCATCGGGAAGGGGTACCCCCCGCACGCTTACTGAGAAGCCCAGGGCACTTCTTCCGACCGACGCGCACGGCACGAACGCCCGGCGCGGACCGCTCCTCCGCGGGCGCCGGGGGCGGCCCCGAGGCGGACGCCCCCCCGAGGCTCGCCGAGGTCGTGGGAGCTCCCCGGCCGCCGTTCCGAGGTCCTGCCCCGGGACGCTTTCGGAGGACGGCGGTTGGCTCAAGCCGGGCCTGCCCCTCTACAGCAGGAATGCTCAACCATGACTGGGGACGACTTTTTGACTACTCTTGATTATTTCAGGGGTATGCTTTGATTGCTTAATTTTTGTCTAGAATCCGCCTGTAGGGGGACACGCCCGACCTAACGGTTCGCCCGCTTCGGGGACCCGCACCGCTCCGCACGGGCCTACAGCCAACCCGCATAACAAGGGTGGGTATCCTTCCCAAGGGTACCCTTGCATCCTTGCCTCCTCGGTCCATCCTTGGTCACTTTCGCTGGCCGCGCCCCGCTCGAAAAGCTTCGAAGTGGGTGTCCAAGGCCGCGATGCCCTTGCATCCTTATCGTGCATCCTGACGATACGGGTTGACTGTACAGAGTCGGTGCGATGGAAGCGGGCGCGGAAGGGAGGAGGGAGGAAGACACCAGCTGAGGGCCACCGAGCCCGGTGCGGGATTACCTCGGACTGCGCGGCCGTGCTGTCGCCGCCTCTGCCGGGGCGCGGCGAGTCCCCCGCGGACCCGCCCGCATGGGCCAAGGATCGGTGCGAAGGAAGTGGCGCCGTCAAAGGCGTTCGCGTCGCAGGGGCTCCGCACTGGAGCGGCGGTCATGCCCAACACGGGGTCACACAGCCCCTTCGGGCTCTCAAGGGCTTCCCCCGAGGGCTCCCGAGATTGGTCGCACAACATGGCCGCCAAGACGGGTGTGTGTGTGTCTGCCGAAAGTTGGCAACAAACTGGGCGCGGCCAAATGTTTACGGAAAGAACAGATAACTACGACGACCAGCGGCGGTTCTTGTCCATATCCATGTGAACCAGTTTCATTGTCGGTGTCGTCGCGGGAATTGTCCATTCGAGACACAAGCTCGCTTGCCCAACAGCGGTGGCTTTTTATGTTGGGCAACATTTCTTGTTGGGCATCGGTACCAAATCGAAGAGGGGAGGGCGGGAAGGAAATAGAGGGGTAGGAGAGAGATGAAAAGGAGGGAGGAGGAGATGGATGCGATGATTAGGAGGAAGTGAAGAGGAGCCTGTTTCCCATAGTACGAATCGCACATCTGCGAAGCATGGGGACTGCCCACTTGCAGCGCCACCGCTGCGGAACCCGCGTACGAGCTGGCCCAGTCCAGCCCTAAACAGAGGAGAGTCGCCAACCATCTCTTGGAACAGCTGCCGGAGTCTCATGGCGATGGCGTTCCTGATGTACAATGGGAGGGGCCGGCACGACGGATGGTTTTCTGCATTGGCTTCAAACCTCTGATTGGCGTGTTGAGTGGTGCAATCGTGTTTTCGAATCCCAGCCTGGCTTCGATGTTCGAGTGCATCGGTTCACTATAGTTGCCATGTTCCAATCTGGTTGGCGCCCGGCGTGCGATATTGATTATTCGATTTGTTGGCATCGGCGAGAATTGAATGCCCGAACAGATTACCTAGTGAACTACGAGGTGGACAGCCGCAAGTCTTCGCTCCAAGCTGGAAGAATATCTTCCGAAGACCCTGCGAATGTGAACTCCCTGGTGCATGCGGATGGAGGCACGCGTGCTGGGACGTGTTCGGCTGCGGCTTGGTGCGTGGAAGCGGTCGTGAGCAAGGGAGGATTTGTCTGAAAATCCCCAGTGCTACTAGCAGTCACCTTCCCTGCATATCAAAATTACTCCTTTACTGCTGAGTCTATCGCGCAGTGAGGGCCCTGACTGAGGCTGCGAGCCACCAGCCGTCAGATGTATGGCTTAGGCCTTGCGAAGGGGAAAGAAAGATGGAGGAGGAGGAGGAGACGGAGGAGGAGGAGGAAGAGGCCGAGAGGGAGGATGAGGAGACGGTGGAGGGGGAGGAAAGGATTATTGGGTGAGGAGGAGTAGGAGGAGGAGGAGGAAGAGGAGGAGGAGAAGGAGGAGGAGGAGTCAAACCAGCCAAGCCGAGCGAGTCAGAGGGCCCCGCCTATTCCCGCCCTCCCTCCCATCACACGTGGCACAACTCGGCATTGGAACGCGCTCCCACCCAGCGAACGGCAAGCGCTCGCGCGCGTCCCCGGTTCCGACGAACTTGCGAAAGGAAGAAGTACGCGGGCCGCGCAGGGGTGGGAGAGGTAAATTCGCTGAGGAGCGCAGCGAAGACGAAGCGTGCGCCGCGCCGGCACAGCACCGCCACCCTCACCGACACATGTCGGGTCTAGCCAGGACCCCAGGTAAGGGGACCCGGTTAGTGGTAGGGCCCAGGAGCCCCTAAACTGGCCAGAATCACTAAACCAGGTCTGCCGTAGCTCGTGTTTTTTCGGGTGACGGCAGTTCCGGCTAGTGGAACGGGGCGGGGGAGGCGTCCCCCAGTACACATCACTAAACCAAACCAGGTCCCATTAAACCCAGTTCTGCCAACGCCAGAACATGGCGCGGTGTTTGGGCGAGGTGGGCATTTCGCCCGCTCTCGCGCAGCCCCGCTGCCGCTGCTGCTCTCCGGCGGCTCGCCGCGCGCCTCCTTCCGAGCCAGCTGCGCACGGAGCCCGGGCGGTGGGCGGCACGTCGCGCGCGAGCGCGCGGGGCCCCAAAACCTTGGCGAGTGAAGACGCGCGCGCGCCGGCCAGGTGGCGTGCGAACCATTTGTGCGGCGCCGGCGGGAGCCCGACCCTGCAGAGACATGAGTGCGGCACCGAGGCGAGGGCGACTTGTCGCCCTTTCGGGCGGGATGTGGGTCCCGTCCCTGCGCAGCTGGGCAGCAGCGTGGACGACGTAATGTCCGTGTCGGCAGCAAAAGTGTCGATTTCGCATTGCTTTCAAGGATTCGGATGGGAGGTTCCAGATCGGGTCGCTATCGGCCGCCTAGGTTGCAGAGCAGTCGTATGCACGAATCAAGAGGAAGGATCGGAGGAGGAGGAGGAGGAGAGGAGGAGGAGGAGTAAGAGGAGGGAGGAGGAGAAGGAAGAGGAGGAGGGAGGAGGTGAAGGAGGCAGGAGGAGGTGGAGGAGGGAGGGGGAGGAGGAGGGGCAGGTGGAGGAGATGCAGAGGAGGAGGAGAAGGAGGAGGAGGAGGAGGAGGAGGGGGAAGAGGAGGGAACGATTGGCGAGGGCATCGTCGGCTACCGCCTCTACCGTGCCGTGCCCGAGGGCTGGCCAGGCGCCGCAGGCGCGGCGCTGACCGAGGCGGGCCCCGTCGGCTGCCATGGCCCAGCCCATCATCATCATCATCCTCCTCCTCCTCCTCATCATCATCATCATCAGCATCATAATGATAATCATCATCATCATCATCATCATCATCATCATCATCATCATCAACATCAACATCAACATCAACATCATCAGCATCAGCATCATCGTCGTCGTCATCATCATCCTCATCATCAGCAGCATCATCAGCATCATCAGCAGCATCGTCATCATCATCAGCAGCATCATCATCAGCATCATCATCACCATCACCATTACCACCACCCTCACCATCACCACCGCCACCTCTGCCGTCAACATCACACACAGCATTACAAGGGCCAGTATCGACACCATAATCATCGTCATCCTCTTCCTCATCATCATCATCATCATCATCATCATCATCATCATCATCATCATCATCATCATCCGCATATGCATCCTCATCCTCGTCACCGCCAACGTCATCACTTCACTATGCTCACCATCAACACCACCATCACCACCGTCAACATCACCATCATACGTATGTATATCCATGTTCGTAGTCATATTATGTTTTACCTGCCTATGCGACTACCCTTATAGTGATGTGGAGGTTCGGGGAGTGCGGGGGGGGCGGGGGACCAACGTCACACTCTATCGATTGGAGAGGCCTGACGGCCGGTGCCGCCGACCCTGATCGAAAGGGCTAGGAGTGGGAGGAGGAGGAGGAGGAGGAGGAGGAGGAGGAGGAGGAGGAGGAGGGGGAGGAGGAGGAGGAGGAGGAGGAGGAGGAGGAGGAAGGAGGAGGAGGAGGAGGAGGAGGGAGGAGGAGGAGCGGAGGAGGAGGAGAGGAGGAGGAGGAGGCAGGAGGAGGAAGGAGGAGGAGTAGGAGTAGGAGAAGAGGAGGAGGAGGAGGAAGTGCATCCGTTGTGTGCCCGCTCGAAGAAAGTTCGCCCCGGGAGTGTGATATTCTGACTTGGGACGTGCTCCCGGAAGAGGAAGAAGTGCATCTCGGGCGTGCCCGCTCTAGGAAAATGCGCTCTAGAGGGGTGGTATTTTGACTCGGAGCCCGCTCCCGGGACGCCTCTGCGGGAGGAGGAGGAGGAGGAGGAGGAGGAGGAGGAGGAGAAGGGGGAGAGGAGCAGGAGGAGGAGGAGGAGGAAAAGGAGGAGGAGGAGGAGGAGGAGGAGGAGGAGGAAGTGCATCCCGTGCGTGCCCGCTCGAGGAAAGTGCGCCCCGGCGGGCGTCGCATCTGCCCCGGGACCCCCCCCCTGCGGGGAAGGGATCAAAGGGAAGGGGCTTCCCTTCGACTCCACTAGGACGTCGTTTAATTTCGTTTTGGGTAGCGCGCTTGAGGAGGAGAGCCCTGGGAGGCGGAGAACGGAGACGACGGAGACGACGAGTCGAACGGAGAAGCCCCTCACACACACGCCGACAGGGTCGGCGGATTTCACTATCGATACCATTATCGGTCGCACAATCGATCGCACTATCAATATCACAATCGATCTCACGATCCCTCGCACTATCGATCTCACTATCGATGTCACGATCGTCTCGCAATCGACCTCACTTTCGACTTCACAATTGATCCAACTATCGATCTCACTGTCGATATCACAATCGATCCAACGATCGACCTGATTTCCGAATTCACATCGATCTGACTATCGATCCCACTATCGGTCTCAGCATCGATCTCATTAGCGATGTGATGATCGATATCATTATCCATGTCAATTTCGATCTCACTACAGATCTCACTATCGATATCATTATCGGTCTTACCATCAATTTCGCTATCGATCTCACGATCGATCACACTATTAATCTCACTATCGATCTCACTATCGATCGCACTATCAACCTCACTATCGATATCCCGGGTCATCGCGGGACACTACGGGACACCACGGGACACCACGGGACACCATCGGGACACCATCGGGACACCATCGGGACACCATCGGGACACCATCGGGACACCACGGCGGGACGCCGCGGGGCATCGCGGGACACCACGGGATACCAGGGGACCTCTTGGACACCATCACGGGGCAGCACGGGACACCGCGGGTCACCGCGGGACACCATGGGACACCACGGGACACCACGGGACACCATCGGGACAAAACGGCGGGTCACCGCGGGGCGCAATCGACACGCCACTAGGACATCATCGGGACACCAATTGAGGCACCGCGGGACACCACAGGACACCATCGAGACACCACGGCGGGACACCCTTGGCACACGCTCGCCGCGGGCTAGCCGTAGGAGGGTTCATTCCGTTCGCCCCCCCACGCAGCTTCGCCCCGCCCGCACGCACAACGCGTACCCGAAACCGAAATCATTCCCCGTGGGGAGCTCTCTGTCCCACTGCGATCTCGCCCCCTCGCCCCCGATTCATACCAGAAGGACGTAGCTCGAATCACAGCGCTGCAAAGGGGCGTGCAGCCAAGTGGCAGGAGCTGGTCCTGGCCGAGACGGTGTGGGCTTGCCTCAGTCGCCCTGGGCCCGACCTCCCCCTGGAAGCCGAGCTCAAGCGAGCGCGGGTGCGCTGCGAGGATCGCCCAGGCACAGCCGCGAGGCCGCAGGCTCTGGTGGCCGGCGCTGCCCTGTTGGCCACAGCCGCGCAGGTCGGCCAACGGCGCGACGAGCAGCGGAGCGCCTCGCGCCCAGCCAGCAGCCGAGCGATGGCCGCGCGGACGGTCGCGACGGGAGCGACACGGGTGGCGGCGGGGTCTCCTGCACGGGAGCCGCCGCCGAAGCGGCAGAGAGGAGGCATCAGGTCGGCAGCAGAGCGGGTCCCGCCCGCCGCGCCCCCGGCCTGCGGAGGACGGCGCGGCGATGCGACCGCAGGCTGCGCGCGGCCACGTGATGTTCGTCGGAGGTGGCGCTGTTGCCCGCCAAGGGTGCAGGTTTTACTCCTCCACGGCCCGCAGCGGGCTGCCGATGGTCTGCGGCCCAGGGGACAACGCAGTGGGCAGCAGAAGAGGAGGAGGCGCATCGAGAGGTTCCTCGACGGAAGGCGCACCACGGACGCGAGGGCCGTCTTGGCGTCGAGGAGCCTCCAGGCCAGGGACCCACAGGCGGAGCGGCGGCAGCTTGGTTAGCCGGGCCACGTTGCCGACGGCACCCGTCTCGCCAAAACCAGTGAATCAGAACTTGTTCGCCGCCGAGGCTTCTAAGATGCCTTCCCCCCTCCCCCTAATTACTCCCCTGTGCGCGCCGCCAAGGAGGGGGGGGGCGACACCAACGAGGTATCACTCGCATCCAGGCCTGCGCTGGGGTGCGAGCGTTGTTCCTGAACGACGGGAGCAGGGCGCCGATCCCAAAACGAGGCCAGCGCTGCAGCGGGAGCACTCGAGTTCATGCAGGCGCCGATCGTGGCGCTGCCCGCCGCCGTCGGGCCCGACCGCCGCACGCCGCTGACGTTTTGAGCTGTGCGGGCTTGCTTGCGCGCCGCAGGACGGTCCCGCCGGCCGCGGCGAGGCTGTAGCGTAGCAAACTATATTGCCGATAAGTCCGCCTCATCATCGTCATAATCATCATCAGCAGCATCATCATTAGCATCATCAGCATCATAATCATCATCCTCCTCAGCAGTGCCATCATCAGCACCATCACCATCATCATCATCAGCCTCATCAGCATCACCGCCTTCATCATTACCGACACCATCATCATCAGCAGCAGCATCATTATCATCATCTTCAGCTTCATCCTCATCATCCTCGTCAGCATAATCAGCATAATCGGCAACAACATCAGCATTATGACCACTATCACTGTCATCATAAGCATGATCGTCATTAACGTCCTCATCACCATCATTATCATCATCACCATCAGCATTGCAATGGTCATCACCATTATCAGCATCACCCTCATCATCACCATAATCACCATCACCTTCATAATCCTCATCATCCTCATCATCATCTTCATCATCACCATCACCACCGTCATTATCTTCATAACCCCCTCCTCCCTCACACATATCCTGCTCACTCTCTCTTCCTCCTCCCCCTTTCCGACTCGCCCCACGAAGCAGAGCCGCCCCGATTGGGAAGAGTTACGGGCTCGGTCATAAGGGTCGCGGCTCGCCATGCCGCCACGGCCGCGCCGTCCTTTTGTTTCGGCGCACCGACCACTTCTCCCCTTCGCCCCACTCCCCCTTCTATCCTCCTGCCCACAATCATCTCCATCCCCCCGTCATTCTTCCCCAGATACCCCCCCCCCCGAGGGCGCATGGTTGTGGCATCCTTGTCTCTTGCCTGGCTGGAGGCGTTGGTGACTGGGCACCCGCTGCCCTGAGGATGCGTTGTGTCAGCGCTGGCCTGTGACTTCGGCTGAGTTCCGTTCCTCGCTGGGCCACCAGGGTTGGCACCATCACACACTTCTCGTCTGGAATGTGTGGCCATCCCCCAATGGCTCCCCCCCCCACTCCCCTCGGTTCCTCGCTCGATCGGCCCTGCGCTGTTGGTCGCTCGCTCTCCGATGCTGGCGAGATGTCCTCTACATTGCCGTTGCCTTCTCTCGTGTCCTAGACCTGCTCCTTCCGAAGAAGAGAAAGCACGTAAAACATACAGATTCGGGAATCCGCGCAGACGTCTTGGATCGGCGCGAGGCGCTCCGCTCGCCAGGGAGAGGTGTCCAGCGCCGATCCCCGAAGTCCGCGCTGGCCCCCGCTAAGAATGTCGATTCGCACCCAGCAGGGTGAGGTTACCACACTGACAATAATCAGAGGAGACAACTGGACCACAGTCACCGAGAATCCATCGGGGCAGGACCGACGTGGCGCCGCTCGGACGTGCACTTCTTTTCCGGAAAGGACCATCGAGGAGCATGTCGAGGCATCTTGCGAACAAGTGCACGCACGAAACCGAAAAATGCACGGGGAATGGACGTCCGAGCGTTGGCGGTGGCACGCCCGAGCGTCGTCCTGTGCTGGGTGGCGCTGGGGCGTGCCACCGCCCAGGGGTCGGCCTCTTGCTGATGGG